TTATTTTTCATTCACCTCCTGCAGGCCATCTGCGTCAAGGATATCTCTCCAAACCTGAAGAGCTGCGAGCTGCTGCGGGACGGGACAGGCACCTTCCAGTGCAAGGCGGACGTCTTCCTCACCCTGGACTCCCTGGACTGCCTGTCCGCATGAGTCCCGGTCGGGACCGGCGGAGACAGTCCTAGTCCTCCACCGATCCCCGGGAGCGCTTCTCGGAAAAATGAAGGAAAGGAATGAGGGATAGATGAGTGTGTGGGGGAGGTGAAACTCTGATCACTGTTGATGGACCGCTGCAGACTCTGAATGTTCTTATTTAAAACAAAAAAAACAAAAAACACAAACATTGTTCCGTTTTGCTTTCGTTGTAGACAGGGATATAGAAGAAAATATCTGTATGAGAGATGTTAGTTGAAACCACCTTCTTTCCAGATAACTTCCCATCTTTACTGTTTAACCCTGACATGTACCCGCCGTTGTTTATGTATTAAATGTCCAGAAAGTTGACTGCAGAACATATTTCCTGGAAAGTACTTTTATTTATTTTATTTATTAAAATGAACAAACACTGTCAACCTGTTGTGTGGCTTAAATTTGTCTTAAAATATTCAACTAGTGGGGGATGAAAAAGGGAAAATAATTGCCTTGGTCTTTTAACAATTTACTTTAAAAGAAAACTGGAATATAATGTCTATAATGTCTAAATAAGGCAGTCAGCACATTTATTTTGTGTTGCTGTTTCAGTACAATACAAAGTACAATCCATGAAATAACAGTCTGAGAACAAGGTCTATAAAGAGTAGAGATTCAGTATGAAATACTAATAATTATTCTAAAATTGAGGAAGAGAAGAGGAAAAACGCACAAATTGCAATACACGTCTGAAGCATTTAAATTACACAACAGCAAAACCACTTCATCATAAGGCACTTTGGGGTGTTTTTCTCTTTTCTTTCACCTTCAGTATCAGACCGTAGCAGTCATTACCATATCTTGTTTATTACTGGAGTCAGAGAGGAGCTGGTGTGATAACACAGTCAGTCGCTCAGGGGAACTCCAGCAGAGTTAATGCCACACAAATCACATATAGGAAGCATCATCCTGGTTGACAAATCAGGGTTCAAGTGTGTGTGTGTGTCAGATACAGGAACAATAATCATCAGAGATGAAAGGGAGGAAATGTGACGAAAGGTGGACGCATCAGGGATGTTTCTTCACATACACTTTTCCCAGCATCATCGCTGGACGATGAGAGTCAGGGGAGAGAAGGCACAGAGTAAAATGAACGGAGTGGGTGTGATTTCAGGACGAGTAAACACAAACTGGGGTGCTTTTACAGTGATCACCGCCTCATTAGGAGGGTGTGACGCACAGGATGTGCACGGTGGAGACACAGTGATGGATGAACGGAAAACACACGATGGTATGCATGAGTGAACCCTGCGTGGAGGAAGTAACAGACAAACAGTAAATCCTCACGCCCACTGTGTGCTGCCCA